CGACCAAACGCCAAGAACCCTTTAGCCGCCGGTAGCAGCGGCTAATAGCACTTTAGCCGCCGCGCGGCTGGAATAGATACCTCGGTGAAGTGACTGCACGAAATCATCATCGCGTAGACTGTTCGCGAGCGTTGCGCGGCAACCGCCGACTGCATGAGTCCTTACTTGGCTGTGGCGGAACCTCAAGTTGCAGACTTTAGTGATTTTGTAGGAGTCTTGATCAGACTGGAATCGAGAATTAGCCCTTTATACAGGATGAAAAGCTGAATCTGATGCAATCGAATCTCCGAAAATTTCTCTTCAACGGAATGTGGCGCACACTCGAAACAATTCGAATGTAATTCGAATGTGTTTTCTGACCGACCTGTCATGTCTTACCAAATGGTTGCTATTGTCAAGTGGTACTGAAACTATGACATTTCATGTCGTACTTAAAGCATCTTTTATTGATCGTCAACATATAAGTCGTGAGTTTTTTGTGAGCCCACGGAGGGTCGGATAGTGTCTAATAAAGTTGCTATACATATGCTCGATATACATAAGAGAAGAAAGATTAACTTGCAAGTATTATAACAATGCTAGTAATACCCGTAAAAACACGACATCAGTATTGCTAGAGACAAATGTTACTATCGAGCCAATAAACACGCTATCAATCCAAAAGTTTAAGCTATTGCAAAATGAACCCGCAATTTGAGAATTGAAGTTATCTGTAAACATTTACATCATGTACATAAACTCATGCAGAAAAGAATGGCGCATCTCCTCTTATTTATAAGCACATGTCATTCTTGATTATATTACAATTATTGTCACTGTCGCGTTGTTCCGGCAGAAGACCTGTGCCAAATTTGAAAAATAGACCAGGATACGGTGGCGGAGATGAAGATTCTTCATCATCCAAAGCACTGCCACGTTGACCATCGTCGCGAATATCGTCCGTAACCAACGTTGTCATTACTGTCTGATTGTAACCCTAAAATATGATCTATGAGTATATCTCAAATAACACAAAATAATGGCAACATCATACTTCATATTTCAGATTGCAGTAAAAATGCAGTATTTAGTCCTTTACGAAAACAGATGGTTTTCGGAAGCGGTCGCGAACGACCGCTCCCGAATAACTGGCAACTAGCTCCTACCACGTAGTAGTGCACGTGATGCATTGACTCGAGTCCACCCGACGCGCACACTATCAAAAGCGCTTCGCCAAACGGGCGTACGCTTCCGCTACCGGTACTTAAGAAAAAATGCGCAATCTTGAAGACGTTTGCTGTACCGGAGGAAAAATGCAAAGCGCAATCGTTTCTGCACTTCTTCCTTGGGCTATTGGACTCTCTTTAGCATGTCAGGAGGGTTAATTAGTATAACATTGTCAGTAGGTTTGCCCTATAATTTCCGGTTTGCTGTTACTAATGTCAAAGCGGTTTGCAACGAGAGAGGCATGGGTCCCATACTAATGGATTCAAATTTTCAATCAACATCTATAATTGCTTATCATTCTATTGTCCATGCAAGCTTCCCTGTCCTTCTTGCATTATGATTGCTGAGACTCAAATCAATATGATGAGTTATTTCACTTCTTTTT